ATTGAAATGAACAGTTAATGCTCACAATTTTTTATGTTCTGATCAACTTTGCATGCTTCTGTCTGGTGGTCTGAGCAACTGATTTGAAGGTAACAATATACAACGGAATTACAACAGTGAACTCCTACCACCTTGTCTACTGGAACTCTGTATTATTTCTAAGGTTTTATTGAAGAATTATTTTCTTATTCTCTTTAATGGTTTGAGCAATCTTTCATTCTTACATCTGATAATCTGAGCAATGTAGTTGAGGATAGCGATATGAACGTAACAACCACTGTTGATTTGTATTAATTTATCTTGAGGCCCTGTATCACTTTGAATGTTTTTGCTTTGATTTGTTTATGTTCGTGATACTAGTATGCTGCTACTGTTCAATTTTTTTGTTTGTTTCTCATGTACTAGTCTCTTTAAAATAAAATTTAAAAAAATTTATAACACAACTTGTGGCAGTAGCTAATATATCAAAGGGGCATCTATAGACATTATGAAATAAAATGAAATAAAATGAAGCATTCTCAACATTGGAACAACAAAATATTTTTATTCCCTCCTAAGAGAGTTGAAAAATTAAATTCTAGGTAAACATTCTTAAAAATAAAACATAAAGAAATCTATTTAAAAATGTTCATGCCCCTGTATCACTCTGAATGTTTTTGCTTTGATTTGTTTATGTTCGTAATACTAGTATGCTGCTACTGTTCTATTTTTTTGTTTGTTTGTTTCTCATATACTACTCTCTTTAAAAAAAAAAAAAAAGAATTATTGTTGTAGGGGTAAAGATGTAGCTCAGTGGAAAAGCACTTGCCTACCCATTCAGCAGAAGAAGGTCTAATCTTGTGCTGCCTGGGGCATAAAGGACTCAACAATCCTTTGGCGATCTACTGAGGAGACCTACTGGGGCTCTCAGCCTGTACTAGGAATGCCTTAGCTGTTTATTGGGCCTTGACCCACATCCTGTCAGTGGTGTGAACTGACCTTCTCTGTGAGCACAAAGGAGAAAAACAGCAAGCTGTGCTACTCTGACAATGAATATGCCGGCAGGCTGGCACATTGCAAGTTACAGGGAGGAGTCAACACAGCTGATATCCAGCTGTTTACCTGGGCATATACTATACATAACAGGAGGCAGATCTATCTTCTATTACCCTAATTGCTTGCTTCTGTGTCTAAGTAAATAAAAGCCAAATGCTCAGGGCTCTTTGTGCACTAGAGGCAAGAACCCTCTGGCCCCTCTTTCAACATTATCTATGCCTTGTCTCTCATCTTCGTTTGCCCCCCAGTTGGGGATAAACTTGTAGGCTGCTTCCTACACTTTCATACATAATTACGTTTATAAAAAAGAGTACCCAGAAATATATTCACTTTCTGAAGGTACTAACGAGTAGTCTCAAGGTCTTGCTGATTTCTGATAGAAATTCACATGAAAATTTTAATTACATTAACCCCTCATTAATCCCATACCTTCACCCCAATAGAAGCTAAAACTCTGTAATCTTTAGAATGACATTGATTAGCCCAGTGGTTTCCTTTCTAACACCTACCAATCAATGAATTCTGCCGCGTTGCCCTGGCTGAGAAAGTTTTCCATGTACACTTTTGTTTTTCTTTTGCTGACTGGCTTGGCTCCTCTCCACTGTGAAACTCCCCATTGCTTACCCAGTACACCTTTCACCCAGGCGGACTTTCCCCAGTCAAGTCCCTGTTAGGGCGCCACTCGTAGGAAACAGCATATGAGTTTATCACTGACAGGGTGAGTGAGGATGAAAGACAAGACACAGATAATTTTGAAAGAGGGGCCAGGGGGCTCTTGCCTGTTGTGCACGAAGAGCTCTAAGCATGTGCTTACCTCACTTATATTTACTTAGACGTAGGAGCAAGCAATTAGGGTAGCAGGAGATACACCTGCCTCCTATTATCAATAGTGCATGCCCAGGGTAAACAACCAGATCCCAGCCTTATTGACTCTTCCCTGGAACTTGCAATGTACCAGCATGCATGCATGTTCATTGCTAGGGAAGCACAGTTGCTGTTTTTCTCTTTTGTGCTTGCAGAGAAGGTCAGTTAGGCCTTGATCCTCATGATCTGGTCTTATACATGAAAGTATACATACAAGTCAAAACAATTATCTTTTCCCTCCCTTTCTTTCTCTTTTTCTCTTTCTCTTTTTTGGTAATGAAGATTATACCCAGGGCCTTCAACTTGTAAGGCAAGTGGTTTTCCACTGAGCTACATCTTCACCCCTACAACAATAATTCTTTTTTTTTTTAAAGAGAGTAGTACATGAGAAACAAACAAAAAAATAGAACAGTAGCAGCATACTTGTATTATGAGATAAACTGTAATCTATTTATAATCTAAATGTAAATTTTATAGCAATGTTTTCTCTATTTTTTTTTTTTTGCGGGGAGGGGACTGGGAATTGAACTCAGGATCTTACATTTGTCAAGCAGGTGTTATGCCTCTGAGCTATATTCCCTGAACCCTTATAGTAATGTTATTAACAAAATAACACTACTTTTTTAATCCATTAAAGAAAAGAAATACTCCTGACTTGGTCCTGAGATGTCCATATTCAGGGCTCAGTAATTAAATGCTGACATTTAAAAAAAAAAAGCATCAAAAAAAAAAAAAAAAAGAAATCTCACATACACCTAAGTGCCACTGCTCTGCTGGAACATGATTAGACCATAATTTTTATTTTTTGTATTCTTTGTAGATAACTTATAGATAGTAAATCAAGTTTTGAAAATGCTTTAAATAAACACACAGTTGTTCACTTAACCCCATTGATTCTCACTGAAAATTAAAGAAATAACTGGTCTCCCAATCCTTCAACCTCCTTATTTGGTTAAAATGCTACAGCCATAATTAAACAGAAGGAAACAAACAACTGAAGATCATTCAGTAAACATAGTGTACACAATATCCTGTACATGGCTGTTAAAATGATTTCTTAACCTTTTCTGACTTATGTAAAATGTTGACTGTTCTATCTGCCAATAAAAAAAGGCACTGAAGCTATGTTAAATTTTTTGTGAATACTGGCTAGGAAAAACTACATATACCCTGTGTCAATTCCATTACTCTTGATATTGCAGACTTACTGGATTCCCTCTGGGGCAGAAAGGACTGTGCTCTTGCCCCCTCTTTTCTGCTAGCTGATTTAAATATTCTGCCATTCTTTCTTTTCTTTTTCTTTTCATCCAAACTCGAATTTCTCTTCTTTCCTTCTCAGTTCTTTGTGGACATCTGCCAGAGGAACGTGGAATCCTGAAAAATTTAACATTTAAGGCATTATTTGCTTTTAAATTTGTGTGTAGATGAGAAGTATCATGACTAAATAAAACTATTCATTAGAAAGGTTTTGTTGCATCAGAGAAGGTAGTGTACACTTATAGTCTAGTCAGCTTGCTCCAATCTGTTCCCTGAACTCCAAAGAAAATGGTGTCAGAGGGGTACCAACAACTTCTCTAACATTTGCTTTAAATTCTTTCCATCTTTAAACTCTCCTGCCTTATGTCTTACCTTTCCTTAATTCTCAAAACCCTATACAGCCTCATACATTAGTTCCCTTCTCTGTTCATGACTTTGGTATTAATATGGTCTGTTTTGAACTTGCTTATTTATGATCTATTCCCTAGACTATCTCAATCACTTCGAAAACTTATACACAGAGGTGACTTGAGCTGTCCTGCATCTACCCCCATCTTCAGGTCCATATCACACTTCCCATTGACTGGCTGAGATAATGACTACACTGGGCAGGAATGCTGTGACTGGCCTATCTCTGCAAAGTCTGTGGGTGACACAGGCTTGAGGCCTTGTCCTCAACCTGGATGAAATGTTCTTAGAACTATGTTATATCTTGAGACCCTCTCTTCCTAACTCTTTCCTTCTCTCTTTTCTCACAGCCATGTGCCCAAGAAATCTCTTGTACATCAATCCCATCTTGGCTTCTGCTTATCAGCAGGTCTAAACTAATGCAAGTGGTACTACTAGGGACCTGAGAAAATGGGTGCTTGGAGATGGGCACTGGGGGCAGATGCAACGCCCAATGTGTGAAGAAGACACCATGTGAGATAAAAGGTGGGTCACAGATACACAAGGTGCTTTCCTCTGAACATTACCTTTCCTTCTCAGAGTCTGGGTCATAGAATATGCCAGGCAGTACCCCCAATAAAACCAACAAGAATCTAATATGTTTGCCTAGTGGACATTGCACATGGGTTGTCATAACTTGCTACTAGGTTAGGTGTGTCTGCTGACTGGGAAGGGATTCTGGGAAGCCTATGCCTACTTTCCCCTGGACCTTTGCTGATTTTGCTTTGATCCCTTTTGCTAGGATACATTATAGCTACAAGTATGACTACAGTATATGCTAAATTTTGTGAACTGTCCTAGCAAAATGATGCCCCTAGCAGTGATCTTGGGGATCTCTCAGCAAAAAGTCAGATCCACATCAGCACTGCATTCTGATAGCTGGTCCCCACCCTGTATGGCTCCCTCTCTTTTCCTTTACAGGCATTTCTCTAAATAAAGATCTTGTTCATCTAAATCCCATCTTAGCATCAGTTTTTCAAAGGACTTTAAGTTGATGTATTACTAGCTGAATAGTCTCCTGGTATGTCTTAAATCACATTCTTCAACTTGCTAAAGAAATCACCATCAATTTAGTCATCCAAAAAAATTTGTCACTGTCCCCTTCTGACAGACTATAGCATTTCCTCAGCCCTGTGACCTGCACTCTCCACTCTGAGCACCTCATCTCTGACTCCAGAAGTAAAGTCTTTGAACTGGTTCCTGGTTGAGGCTGAGACCCTTGCTGACTCCCCTGCTGCCTGCCAATGAGGTACGCAGCAAGTGCCTCTGCTCCCCATCCTGGCTTGTCCCACTCTCCTTTCCACGCACAAACTCTAGCCACATCTAACTCCTGTTCTCACCATCATCATAACTTTGCATATGATATTCTGTCTGACTGAAATATCCTTCTTTCCAGGTATCAGTCATTAACACACTCAAACTTCTACTGATCTTTTGAGATACACATCAAATTTCTGAACTGGTAAAGCTGCTTTCTCTGACTTTCTTCCCATAGCACACTCATATAACTTGGTCTTAACAGTTTTTCTCCATTTTTATTCTAACTTTTGACATTTCATAGACTACTGGTGAAATAGTTATAGCATGATCATTAACTTCAGGGAAAAGAAGAACAACAGAGTTCACTATGTGCACTAGTTTTACAAAGTTAGGATTTTCACGGTCTTAATACAAGGTCATAAATATAGCTGATAAATTCCACTAATTAAACAGAAATATTCTTTCATCTTTTTTTGATGCACTATTTTCAGGTAATACCCCTGTGACTTTATAGTACACTACATTTTCATTAAGACAGTAAGTAGAATTTAACTAGGAAATAGATAAATCCCATAAGTTGAGTATATCAGCAAACCAAGAGGTAGATAAATTTTCAGGGAAGCATGAATAGAAGAGTCAGCCTGCATTCTATTCAGGAAGAGTTGTAAGGAGACTTATTTTGATGTAATAGCCCACAGGAAGGCTATTATAAATATATCCCAAGGGTTAATATTTACAATAAAGCATGGGGAGCGAAAATATTCATTAGGTCTAATAAGCAATAGGATTAACTATATGTTGTACTTCCAGAGTGATGAGACCTAGGGAAAATTTGTAGGATATAGATGGGCTATATTAGCTGAGTAAGTCAGCTATACATTGTTGCATAAGCTTCACATTTGTTTCATAAAAATTACACTAAAATGTAGCAAATTTTAAACATTCTTGAACTAGAAACATTTTAAGTGGGTTGAAAATGAATTATTTAGTAGCTAGGGGTGCAGCTCAGTGGTGGGGCATGTGCTTAGCATTCACAAGGCCAGAGGTTCTATCCTCGGTACCCCAAAACAAAATCAAATGATGAAATGAAATATCTTCAGTGATTACCTGGAGATACTCCTAGCTTGTTGTTCTGTTAAGCCAAGTTCTCTACTGGAAACACCACAGTCAGTTATGAGATCGTCAACAATGTCTGCAATATCAGTCAATCCAGTGATCTGGAGTGGATCTACTGAAACACTTCAATTACAATGTAATTTGAGAATTAGAAGTCACCATCTAATGTAACTTAATTACATTAATCAAAAATGAACATGCAAACCTAGACCTTTAAGAGCATGAATGTGAAAGTGGTACACATATATCTACTCTCCTATTTCTGTAATTGTTATCTCTCAGAGGAAAAGCATACTCATCAGTAATTGATTTCTTAGGTGCTTTAAAAAAACGTTAGGCCCATGAGAAGACCTGTGTGAGTCTTGCCTGCTGAAATTTAATGAATATTTAGTAAAACAAAATGTAGCAAATATAGTCTATAGCTCTGTAATTACCTATGTTATAACAGCAAGGGATGAAACATAAATGTATTTTAGTTTCTTAAAACACTACATTCCCAGTCGAAATTTATTATATTCCTTAAAACAAAAAATATGTGTAATCTAAAAGTTCACATTCATAATGACAAAATCTCTAGAATACATATTTATGTCTAAATTTAAGTAAGGTAATGAATTAATTATTCAAATATCTACCTCTCAAATGCTTCATCACTGTTCTTCATACCTTAAAAAAAGGAACATTATTATTACTAAAAAATTAGGACAGTGTTTTTTTTGTTTTTTTTTTTTTTAGGACAGTGTTTTAACTTTCAATTATTAATCAAATTTAGAAATTATATAACCTGAAATTGAAATATTTTTAAACCCAAATTTAAAGATATGTATGTACAGCATGTTTGGCCTCCTCTTAAATACAGTTTGGTAGTAAATATTATCTGTTTTGAGATTATATTTCTATCCTGTATAGTCTATAGAATATATTTCAGAAGTACAACACTTCTGTGCTTAGAAGATAGTGTTATAGCTTATATCTAGATGTCCTCCCACAGCCTCATGTGGTCACAGGTAGGGCTTTTTAGAAGTGGCTGGATCAAGGTCGTATGAATGTGGATTAGGGGTGTGATACTGGGATTAAGAGTGTGAGGTACTGGATTAGTCTACTAATTTATTTACCATAGTTTGTGGTGTAGATAATGGAAGCCCCACTCTGGATATGGGTGGCACCACCCAAAAGGGTTTTTTTCCCTCTTTTTAAGACAGGGTCTTGCTATGCAGTTCAGGCTGGCCTTGAGCTCACTTTGTAGCCCAGGCTGGTCTCAAACTTGCAATGATCCTCCTGCCTCAGCCTCCCGAGTGCTGGGATTAGAGACGTGCACCACCATGCCCAGCATCTTTTTTTCTGAGACAAGATCTCATTATGCAGTTCAGGCTAGCTCTAAACTTACTATGTGGCCCAAACTGACTTTGAACTCTCTGCAATCCTCCTGCCTCAGCCTCCCAAGTGCTGGGATTACAGGTGTGTGCCACCAAACCCAGCCATATTATTGTTAAAAAAAGCCTCTAGCTGGGTTTGTAATTCCAGCACTCAGGAGGCTGAGGCAGGAGGACTGCCATGAATTTGAGGCCAGCCTGAACTATATAGTGTGATACTATCTCAAAAAAAGAAAAAAAAAGAAACAAAAGCCTTAACTACTGAAAAAAAATGAGAATGATGAGTATAGATTAATAAAAAAATGTGATTAGTAAGAAATAGTGTTCTTGCATCAAACAGCAGTAAATGCTACATTAAATACCTCTAAAAGTAGTTACACAGGGAGAGTCTATTATTATTTCATTTCAAACCACTTTTGGAACTCTTCTTTTATGACTGCCTACACAGATGATTTATACAATATAATTGATCATTGTTATTCCTTGATAGCTCTGATTCCTTACCTTTAATTCTAAACATTGACAGCCTGGTTATTTACTTCATATATCAGCAGAGCTCTGAATATATTATGGTTGCTAGTAAAAATTAAATATATCCTCAGTGAATAAATTATTTGCCACTAAGAATATTCAGAGAAACGCACTAAAAAATGGAAGTTAATTGCGAAAGAGGAAAATCTAGGCTATTTTTTATCATTAAAGCAAAAATACAACACATTTTTCTAAGTTGCCAACTTTGGAGAAAACACCCATTAGATGATCTAGGTATCTTCACTTTATAAAAATATGATTTCTTTTTAGGTTTGTACTCCTACACTGACTCACAGAGAAAAATATTTTATCTACTTTTATATGGGTTACAAGGAAAATGCCCTATTATTCATATGACAAATCTGTATTCATTAGTACTAAAGAATGCTACTTTTAATTGCTGCTTCCAGTAAACCTAAGTTTCAGTATTCTTAACCATAACACTTATTTTTTTTTGTTTGGTTGTTTTGTTTTTGGTACTGGGAATCGAACTCATGACCTCAGGCTTGCCAGGCAAGTGCTTATGCCACTGAGCTACATCCCCGGCCCAGTATTCAGGGATAATAACTGCATCTTCTTCATAAGTCAGGATTAAACAAGGGTCTACACAAACAAAAGAGTCAAGTTTCACATGTGATAGAGACTCAATCTGTAATTTGTTTTCTAGTTAAAATTTAAAGTCCTGATAATTGGTAGGGTTTGAATATCTCAATTTCCATAAAAATCAAACACAGTAATTCCAGTTGCTATATATTTAGCACTAACATGTTACACAGATATATAATACATGGTTGAAGTATACTTTATAACTTTCCTTTCTCTGAAATATTACAAAATGACTTCATAAATCCTTCATTAGTATATTTCCAGGAGATATAGTTCACTAAAGTAATAATGGAAGGCAAGAATATATATATAGATAGATAGATAGATGAAAAAATCCAAAGAACAATACCAGGAGAAGTAATATTCTGGTCACTGTAAAGACTGAGAGCTGAATCAGCAGAAGGGAACACACAGGCTTTCTGACTAGAATGATTTTCTGTTACTGAAAATTCAGCTTCTGAAGTCTTCTCTTTGTCAGTTTGATCTTCCTCATCCATATGAGTCAGGAAATTCACTAATCCAGAGCATATAATACAATGGAAAGAAAATAGTGAAAAACAGTTATGGAAAAAACTGTAACAACTGTTAATATTTCCACATGACAACACAGACATACTAGAAGTTTGCAACTATGCAGGGCCACTGGTGGTGCATGCTTGTAATCCCAGCACTTGGGAGGCTGAGGCAAGAGGATCCAAGCAAGTTAGAGGCCAGCCTGGGCTACACAGTGAGTTCAAGTCCAACCTGAACTATATACAGAGAACCTGTTTCAAGAAAACCCCCTAAATAATAATAATAATTTTTAAAAAAGAACAAAAGGAGTTTGTAACATATTTTTTTCTGATAGTTTTTCTACCGTATAATAAAATAATTTACTCTGAAATTTAAAATGAAAACTCTCATAGTACCAAAAAAAGAAAAAAAAAAAAAAAAACAACTTTTAAGAAAGCATAAGCCAGGCATGGTGGCACACGCCTGTAATCTCAGCACTTGGAAGGCTGAGGCAGAAGGACTGCTGTGAGTTTGAGGTCAGCCTGGGCTACAAAGTGAGTTTGAGGGCAGCCTGAACTGCACAGTAAAACCCTGTCTCAAAAAGACAGGAAAAA